AGGGAACAGATCCCCGGTTTGGTTGGCACTCAAGCACTGAGCGATGCTGATGTGAACTTCAGGGGTTCAAATGTGAGAAAACAAACGTCTCATAAATCAAAGGATTTCATAGCTATGGTTTAACAACATCCAAAGCAATGTTCTGATTATCATTGCTGCCATTCAAGAAGTTTGAATATCAAAGTCATTGCACAGGTAGTTGGTTTTTAGCTGTATTTTGCCTACTCCAGCAACAGAAAGACTTCCCAATGGCTGCTGCAGAAATACAGGTGAACTCTACCTTCTTGTAAGCCAAAGCCTGCAGTCCTTCCTACACTACCTCCAGCTCCAACACCAGCTATCCTCATCAAATGTACAATACATCACTCAAAAAAATCAGCAAAAAAAAGAGTCAGTGCAAAATAAACAGGAGTCAAACAGATACACCAAACCAACAGTTCAGTCAATTGCTGAGGCTAGCTGTATTTTAACTTACATTGAAATGCCCAGGAATTTCTAGCCTGAAGTGTTAGCAAGCAAAGGATGCGTTTCCCAGAATTTGGGTCCCCTCACTAGACAGCATTTGGCGTGCCAGTCACAGCATGCAAATGGAAGAGAGCATTAACATGCTCCCATAGACACATCATTGGGACGGGGAGTCAGGAAACCTCCTCCGTCTATTCCTGGCTCTCCTCATCTCCTGCTGGGTGACCCGGTCATGTCACATCACCTCTCCAGAGCTTTTGTTTCCACAGCCACCCTTTGTCTGTCTTGTCTGTTTAGACTGTAAATAAAATTGAGGTAGGTATTGTCTTGGTTTGCCTGATGCTGATGAAATGAGGCCGCAATCTTGGTTGGGCTCCAGTAATGCAAATCAAGAAGGGAACTCAGAACTTGAGGTCATGGATGCATACGACACCCCTCACCACACACAGGTCCCATATGTATGGCAGTGCCCGAAGTACTGCAGGGGCTGCAGCATCCCCCTCACCTTGGGCTCTCCAGGGCAAGCAGAGCAGCAGTGCAGGCTGGCTGGAGATGTCAAGCTTGGGGCACAGCTGTCCCATGTCTGCAAACAGGCACATTTCTGCCCTCCCACAGCACAGAATGTGCTGCTTCTCAAGGAGCTTCTCGGTCTAATGCCATGCAGAAGAGCAAGGAGTCAATGTTTCTACCAACAGTATTCTAAAGTGTTGTCTTCAAAGAAAAAGAGTCCTCAAAAGCCAAAACCCTGTCCCTTCCCAAATCAGCACTCCCCTAAACCATCTGAGCTACCTCAGGTGCTGGGGATCCAAGTGGCAGCTTATAAAGTGTCACCTACAGTGTTTTATGCCAGTCCTAAGAGGTCATGTCTTTGGTGTGTGGTCAGCCCATTTCCTGGCACCTGTGTCTACACATGGGGTTGGCTGAGCCCAAGCGTGGGCATCCCCACACAGACTGCCTGTGTCCTGCCTGCTGCTCTGCATGGGGACGTGCTTCTATGGATGACTCATGGTGTGATATTTTGACCACTCCAAGGGAACTGTGGAAAGAAAACAGAATTCAGGCAGCCAACTTAAGTCCAGGCAAGCATCCCACAAGTCAGCTCCTACAGATGTCAGAGAAGACAGAGCAGAGCCACCAACCTGAGTGGCTCCAAAGATTCAGATTGGTGTTTTGCTGCTGCTGAATAGAAGCTGAAGTTTGTTTTTGTTTTTAAACTTTTTTGTTTCCTTAATAGCATGAGAAGTGCCCTGCAAATTATTTATCCATAACATATACTGCAAGCATTCCTCACACTGGCTAATCCAACAATCAGGGTTTTTCCCCTTCTGTCACAGAGATGCTCATGATCAGGACCTGAGAATCTGTTAAATCAACACAGGAAGGGCTCTGGTCTCTCTATTCATCCACTGCAGTCTCTGAATAAGAAAGCAGTGTTTGCCTTTAGTTACCATTGTGAAAATGGCACTGTGGATCACTGAACATTGCAGAGACTGAAAGGAAAGCCTTGTTCAATAACCAGGTATACAGCCTGCCTTGAAGCCACCTCCTGAAAGTAACAGTGCTGTCACATACAGAGCCCTGCTTGCGAATGAGGAGGGATCAGTCAGCTCTTTGAACCATGAAATGCCAACCTTGCCTCCTTGGGCAAGGTGTGGGGTAGACCCAGGGTTCACACCAAAGTTTTGGCTCTGCTTTGGGAACCTGGCCAATGCAGAGAAAAGCCACCTCTTCTGAAAGCAGAGGTGCCTGGCTGGCTTGCCAAAGGAGCAGACACACATACGGCTC